CTTTGATAATACTAGTTTGATTTAAATGAATGCAACTAAGAGATATAATTATTACCAAAAAAAAAAAAAAACTAAGAGATATAATTGTTGTCACCAACCAAATGCTGATGATCATTACCAACAAACAATATTATTTTTTAACAACAATCATCCGTACCAAACTGGTTTTTCCTTACCGTTGCCCAATTTTGTTTATGCAGGGTTCCCATTGCCCTACATATATATAAATATCAATGTGGCTGATTATGTGGGAGGTAAGTACCTCTGATCCACGTCTTGTTCAATTAATTTATAAAAAAAACATTTTTTAATTAAATTTGTAAAAAATTAATAAAAATATTTTAAAATCATATCATTTTAATATATTTTATTAAAATATACTAAAACATTTTAATTTTTAAATTAAGATTTATTTTAATTTTTTTATATTATTTTATTAAAACAGCATAATTTTAGGTATACAAACATAAAATTTAATTAGAGGAATACAACTCGAATATATAATTAACTTCACAACAATCAACCTTACATAATTGGTTTTTTCTTTTATTAAATTTCTTCCATTAGAATAAGTTAATATCATTTCTTTTCAAAATTTAAGATTGATAGAACTGCCAGTCCTTCACATTTTTTTAAAAAGTTCAAAGTTATCATTTATTCAACTCTCAAAATATGCAATTGTCCCTGAAATGTTTTTCTTCTCCTCGATTAAGTCCTTCCATTAAATCTCAATTACTCGAAGTTAATGCAAGAATTATTAAGTCATTGTTGGAATTAACAGCACACAATAAGTGCCTCTCAGTAATCAATTACGAAGCATGATATGATGATTGCCTATTTGTTATTGATGATTGATTATTAACAAATGGCTTACACTTTTTACAATTAAATTGTATGAAAAATATAAATGTTAATTTTGATTTATTTAGTTAGTCAATTAAAATTTTACAGATGCCAATCATATTAAAATAAAGATCAAATTTTATATTTTTAATGTAAAATAATTATAAAAATATATACTTATTATTCTCTTAATTTATGAGACAAGCAAAAGTTAGATAAATTCATTAATAAAAAGACAAAAATGAATTACAAAGGAAAAAACACAAAGAAAAAAAAGAAGAAGTACTAATGCTTGCTTTCTGACAACAATCTTTCTTCCAAAGCCTTTCTTCCAAAGCCTGTCTAATTATCTTAGAGGTTGAATATAAACACTCTAAAATACAAATGTTAAGAAACAGAGCACACAATACAATATATAAATCTTTTAAGATTAATATTTATTAACTGGATTTATGAAAAAAAAATTAAGTAAAAAAAATTAAAAACTGCATCTTTTCTATAAAGCATCACCAAAAAAAAAAAAAAAAAACAGTCTCATTCATTCATGATCTAAAAATTAAGATATTTTAATTTTTTACAATGAAAATTTATTAAAATGACATAATTTTAAATTATTTTTCAATTTAATTTTTTGCAGGTTTGAGGATAAACCTTTTTCTTCAAATCTTTTACAAAAAAATAAAAAAAAAAAACACACACACACAATATATAAATTAATATTATATTGTAGAAAACAAAATAATGTTTTTTTTTTTTTGGCGCAGTTATTATTGTGTTTTGTTCAGCTATTGTTTGGTTTTTGATCTTATGGCATGGAGCAATAGCTATTCTTGGAATTCCAAGTTTCATCATATTTTTGGCCTTCAAATGGAGGAGAAGGCATTTATCCATGTATAATTCTATTGAAGAATTCTTGCAAAGCAACAATAATCTCATGCCTGTAAGGTATTCTTACTCAAAAATCAAGAAAATGACCAATGGTTTTAAGGAGAAATTGGGTGAAGGAGGTTTTGGTCAAGTTTACAAAGCAAAGCTGCAGAGTGGTCGCTTTGCAGCAATAAAGATATTGGGCAAATCAAAAGCTACAGGGCAAGATTTTTTCAATGAAGTTGCTACCATTGGAAGAATTCACCACATCAATGTGGTACAAATGATTGGCTTTTGCGTTGATGGATCAAAACGTGCCCTTGTGTATGACTTCATGCCTAATGGTTCTCTTGATAAACATATTTTCTCTGCAGAAGGCAATATTGCAAGTTTGGGTTGGGAAAATCTATACAAGATTTCTCTAGGAGTGGCTCGTGGAATTGAGTATTTACACCGAGGTTGTGATATGCAAATCTTGCATTTTGATATCAAGCCGCACAACATTCTTTTAGATGAGAACTTCACTCCAAAAATCTCAGATTTTGGTCTTGCAAAGTTATATCCAGCTAAAGGTAACACTGTGCCCTTGACTGCAGCAAGAGGAACTTTTGGATATATGGCACCTGAGCTGTTTTATAAAAACTTAGGAAGTATCTCTTACAAAGCTGATGTATATAGTTTTGGTATGTTATTGATGGAAATGGCAAGCAGAAGAAAGAATACGAACCCATTTGCGGAGCATTCGAGTCAGATCCACTTTCCTTCATGGGCATCAGGGCAATTGAACAAAGGAATGGAGCTAGAAATAAGAGAAGCCACGAAAGATCAAAAAAGAATTGCAAAGAAAATGATCATTGTAGCGTTGTGGTGTATACAGATGAAGCCAATTGATCGCCCTTCAATGAACAAAGTCATAGAGATGCTTGAAGCAGAAGTTGAGAGCTTACAAATGCCTCCCACCCCTTTCCAACTTTATCCCCATGCAACACAAGATGATGTTACAGAGAAAACCTCCCTCACAGAATCTACTAGTTTCTCTTCATGCAATGACATAGAGATTGAGTCCATTAGTTTACTTGGAAATGAAAATTAAGTGGGATGGTAATGAAGAAGCTTGTATTTGTATTAGATTTGCTTCCTTTACAGCATAACCAAGGCAATGAATTTGGTGTTGCACTAGTATGTTTGGCATCCTAATAGTTATGTATATTTTGAAGTGCATGAACTAGTTCTAATTATTTTGCCTATAAAATCAATTGAAGAATTCACTAGAGTTAATTTTTATGTTTCAAAACTTAATTAAACTTTAGTTTAACACTTTGTTTGAGAACACTTCTCGATACTTTAGCTTTTAGCTTTTATATCTTTTTACTATTTTGAAAATATATAAAATGTTAATTAAAATAAATATTAAATAGATGTTATATATGTTATATATATTTTAGATGTTAAAAAACCCAAAAACCTACAACTACATATATAGAGTAACATTGTCAAACTAAACCTAAATCATGTATTTAGAGTTCATTTCCTCTTCATTTTTTGTCTCTATAGAAGCTAATAATTCTAAAGAACTAGTTAAGCTCCTAACAAAGAAGCCTACATAACTATGACTTCTGAAAATTTTGGTGTAGAAAAAATCAATTGTAGGGTTGCACCAGTTTCATTTCACTCAGTAAGAAGTAATGGCTAGTATTCCTGAACTTGCCAAGAAACTAAAACCCAGGCATTAATTGATGATGTACAAAATTGATTGTGAAAATTCTCATGCAGAAAAAATTCAATTGTGGGGTTGCATCAATTTCATTCCTTTCAATAGGACAATAACCAAGTGCGATAGTTGGTGTTTCTTAACTTGCCAAGAAATTAAAACCAAGTCATTGTTTGGTGAAGCACATTTTGTAATTGACTTTCAAAGTTCTCATGTAGAAAAAAACAGTTGTGGGGTTGCACCACCTATTAGTATTAAATTGAGCAAAGACTTTTTCATCTCTACTTGTCTCCTTATGGCTAGAATAGGGCTCCTCATTGCAGCCCTTCTTCTTGCCCTTTCTCATGAAAATTGCAGTGCCAAAGCAAGCCATCAATGTCCAGCTTCTTCTTGTAGCAATATTCTGAATATTTATCATCCTTTCTATTCTTGCACCGTTCCACCAAAATGTAGAGACCCAAAGTATAAGTATAATCTATTCTTGATGTGAACCCCACAGAGCGCAATGAGAACAAAGAGATTCAAAACCCCAAGGAAAGCCAAATAAGATTTATAGAAGACAAACTTTGATCCGTTATTTATATTGAAACAAGAACCAAAGATATAAAGGAATTTAGACACCACACTCAAAAACGATTAAGAACAAGAGTAACAAATCAAATTAGAATGCCACAAAAATAATCTTGATAGATTCTGTAAAGTTCACAAATGAACTAAGAGAAAAATTTAGAAAAATTTCTCAAATAATCTCATAGTCAATTAACCATTTCCAATTATGGTTGCAAGCCTTTAAATAACTAAATTAGTCCAACTAAGAATAAGAAACTAGATGCTATACACAAATCCAATTAAAAGTAGAATTGGATGTACACTACTTCTAAAAATGTTTGAATTTGTATTATTCCTAATAAGACATGAATTAGACTTTCAATTAAAAACAATTTTTAGCCCAAATTACTCAAAAAAACACAAATCTAAGTAAAAATAACATAAAAATCATTCAAAACAACTTAAAATAATGCAAAACATAAATTCGCGACATTGTAACAAAAGTGTGCATTTATGGTCAAATTGAAAGATTTTGATCCAAACTATGTAATTTAGCTAAAACAAACTCAAATAAGTTGTTCTTGGACTTAAAAAATGTTTACTAAATCTTGATGATCCTTCAAGTTTTGATTCACTTGCTATGCATTACTTTTAGCCTAAATCTCCTCAATAAGTGCATTTACAACTTTTCGTATCTTTCTAACTCTTACTCTCATTATCAAACCTCCATGAATATACAATGGTTCACTTGATGTCATATGTGTGCTATCATCTTGATTCTCATCAATTTTTCTTGAACAATGTCACAATTTTATACCTTAATTCAGGAAAATTCTATGCAAGAAATCGATTATATTCACTCGATCAAAGTTGTGGATCCTAGTGTTAATCAAGGTAACTGTTCTTCACTACCTCTCTATTCCCTTGGCATTGATAAGGTCACAACAGACAGTGATCCATATTACTTTCATCTTGGAGAAGCTCCTCTTTTCCTAAACTGTGGAAAACTAGTGAATGATATTCGCTATGTGGATGCTTCCTCTTGCATTGATGCTACTAATTCATCCAACTCTAAAAAGGTATTATTATGCTAAGATTGGAAGAACAGCATTTGAATTAGAGAAGCCATGCCAGATTGAGCTAATGGTTCTTTGTCCTTCAAGAGGGATGAGTTATAACAACATTACCTACCAAGATGTTCACCATTAGTTATCATATGGATTTGAGCTTTGGTGGTTTCCCTACCCTTCTATATGGATTGGTATGCAACGAACATATGTTGCCCATTGATTAAACACATGCACATGCAACTCACTAATTTTGGGTCCTTTTTTTTTTTTAATGAACTGTATGCAAATTCAATGTCTTGCTTCTCCCTGATTTTGGTTTTTGCTTTCTGGTATATTTTGCAATTTTGGTCATGCATTACACTTATTCATCCTGCACAACATTCGTATTAGGTAATTAGAACCTTTCCCTTCTGGAGCTATTGTTTTTCATTTATCCATGTTGCACCGTCTTGAATCATGAAGCATTAAATATTCAAGTACATGGGATGAGATTATAAGAAAATAATATTAAGAACTCCAAGAGAAGCATGCAATATTTATCGGATGCTTTATTTGATAACCAATTATATCAATACATATCTTTTTTTACTCACAGGTGTACTTCCTGGGGTAGCATCTACTTTTGCAATTCCAAGCTTCATCCAGTTTTTGTTATATAAATGGCAAAGAAGGCATTTATCTATATATGATTCTATTGAAGAATTCTTGCAGAGTAACAATAACCTTATGCTAATAAGGTATTCTTAATAAGATATCAAAAAGATGACCAATGGTTTTAAGGAAAAATTGGGGGAAGGGGGTTTCGGCAAGCTTTATGAAGCAAGGCTTAAGAGTGGTGGTCTTGCTGCGATCAAGTTATTGGGCAAATCCAAAGTCACAACCCAAGATTTTTTCAGTGAAGTAGCAACAGTTGGAAGTATTCACCATGTCAATGTGGTAAAACTTATTGGCTTTTGTGTTGAGGGTTCAAACCGTGCAGTTGTGTATGACTTCATGCCTAATGGTTATCTTGATAAGTACATTTTTACTAGAGAAGAAAGTACCACCTTGGCTTGGGAAATACTATACAAGATTTCTCTAGGAGTGGCCCATGGGATTGATTATTTACACCAAGGCTGTGATATGCTAATCTTATAATTTGACATCATACCGCACAACATTCTTTTAGACAATAACTTCATCCCAAAAATACCTGATTTTGGTCTTACAAAATTATATCCAACAAAAGATAGTATTGTGTCCCTAACTGCAGCAAGAGGAACACTAGGATACATGGCACCTGAGTTGGTCTATAGAAACAATGGAGGTGTCTCACACAAGGCTGATGTCTATAGCTTTGGAATATTGTTGATGGAAACGGCTAGCAGGAGAAGGAAATTAAACCCAAATGCAGAGCATTCGAGTCAAATTTACTTTCCTACATGGGTTTTACAACAATTGAATAAAGGAATGGAGCTGGAAATAAGAGAAGCCAAGGAAGATGAAAAGAGAATGGCAAAGAAAATGATCATTGTGGCTTGGTGGTGTATACAAGTGAAACCAAGCAACTGTCCTTTAATGAACAAAGTGGTGGAGATGCTTGAAGCGAATCTCGAAAGTTTAGAAATGCCTCCTAGGCCCTTCCAAATTTATCCATATGCAATTGAAGAAGATGATGCTAAAATGAAAACCAACCCCACACAGCTTTCTAGTTATCCATCAGATGATGATATGGAGACAGAATCAGAATCAGAATCAGCCAGTTTGATTGAAAATGAAAATTAAGCAAAACTGTTACGGAGAAGCCTAATTAAGTAGAGTTTTCTTTATTCATGAGTTATACAAAAACAAGAGGTATCCCCTTTTGCTACCCACTTCTCACCCCACCTAGATGTCACAATGGCTCTAAATTTGCATCAAGTTTTTTGATGTGTTATTGGTGTTCAATTCAGAAGAAATGGGCACTTTTCTTTCCAATTGATTAATTAATTGAGTTGCACGCGCACAGACACACAAAAAGGAACACTTTCAGGAACTAATAAAATGGAATTGGCATATATTAGGAATTGGCATATATTACCTGAGGCATTAAGGCATCCATCCCATTGAGAAAAATCAAGCATTGTTGTCCTAGGCAGATGCATAATTCGAAGTTGACCTGAGAGATTAAAAAAAACATTCAGATGTGATGAAATGGGACTACATTCAATGCGAAATTTGTTAGGGTATTATTTACATGACTCACTTGGAAAAATCTTGCCTTGGCAAAATCAAGAATTAAGCTCCATCCATGGGTGATGGGTGTACCTTCCTAATGCATCAATCAATTCATCCTTTCAGTAATTGAATGTGATAATCGATTCTCTTCATAAGAAGAAGGGGAACTCCGGATTGCATTGGGGTTTACTAGACGTACGTTGAAAAAAGGGCCCCGAGAGAGAGCTGTTGAATTTGGGTAAAAGGAGAACAATCGGAAGTGGGAGGGTGCGCACGGAGGAGAAGTCAGGAATCGCAAGTACTTAGAGATTTTTCGGTGAAAGGGGAGGGTATATGCAGTAATACACTGGGACTCAGGAGACCCGCCGTCGACCTGCTTGTGAAGGAGAAGAATCCGGGCAAACAAAGAAAACAATTAATTGTAATTTGGAACTGGGAAATATGGAAATGAGGACATTTACTAACATCCTGATATTTGAAATTTGCACCTGCGCTTCACGGTCCAACGGTGATAGACCAGTCAGTTTGTAAAGAGCATCTCCGTCCGTCCAAGACTAGAGTTGACTCGCCCCTCTCTCAAAATTGTAACCTTGCTCAAAAAAAAAAAAAGATATTTGAAATTTTATTATAAAATTAATCATATTAGTTGTAATTTTGTACGGTTACTGTTTCTAGTTGTCTAATTCACGGGTGGGGTTATTATTGCTGTTGCAAAATTAGGGGCTTTGAAATGCCAGCTAGTCCGTTAAGCACATGGGTCTGGTAATGTCAGAAATAGTAGAGTTAAGCAGTATAAGTGATGCAGTCATGGATGACCTCCGAAGGAATTGCTAACATTAATTTTTTTTTTTTTAACAGATTGAAATTATTTGTATATATTAATTGAGAGAAGGAGAAAGACATTTTGTAAGGCTCAGGGTTCATAGCACTGATTGGAGCGAGCTGTTCGAATTGCTTACATTATTAGGAGGGATACATTATAAAATGTTAATAGAGTGCAGTATCTAGGACAAAATCTGTTAGTTATTCTATTAAAATGACATATTATAGTCAGTTATATTTTCAAGTGAGGAAAGAATGAGGGAAAATAAAGACCTGTATGCTAAGATAGAAAGCAAGTTGCAAAATCACCACTCCAACAGCCAGTATGCACATTGCTACAACCAATGCAAACCTCTTCCATCTCAATATAGTGGCAACTGAAACAACAGAAAGTTTCAAATGCCTTAGACCAATAACCCCCCTTAACAAGTTATCAAGTAATACAATCACAAACATTCTTAAGATGTTATCAATTCAAAGGATCTTTATAAGTGCTAATAGATGAAAGAAAATCTTAAAAAGTATTGTAAGGAAGACCTTGGGACCAACTCACATTGGTTAAGCTAGTATGCAGTTCAAATAATTAAGTGCTATGTTATTCTATTAAAATGATTTATTATAGTCAATTCAATTTTCAAATGAGGAAAGAATGAGGGAAAACAAAGACCTGTATGTGGAGATATAAAGCAAGTTTCACAATCACTGCTCGAACAGCTAGGATGCTCATTAATGCAACAAGCCATATGTAGATGATGATTCTTCCTTCTGCACATATCCAGATGATGTGTAAACCTCTATCTTTTTTTATAATTTAAACAACTTGGTCTGGGATGAAGAATGTAAGCTTGGCTGACGATACCAGACAAAAAGTGGATGAGGAAAGTGCAAGAGAAAAAGATCCTTGAGCTTAAGGTTGTTTTCAATAACAACATCGAAAAAAGATAAGCCACTGAATTATACAGGAAGTTTAACTATTGGCAAATAGGTTACTGCATTATTACCTATCAAGTATTTGTTGGTCAGCCATCTGTAGTATAAAAAGGAAAAAAGTATATGAATATAATCATGAAAAATATTTGTGAACAACATTTGCAGAAATTGTAGCAAAACTTTAAACCTGCTTGGGGAGCCTATTGAAATTGCAAGAAAAAAAGAGGCAAAACCAAATAATGAATGCCTACTGATTGTAAGTTTATGTAAAAATATTAGAGTTACTATGACTGCAGACAATAAAAAGTAGAGAAATGGAATCATATGAATATCTTTTCTCTAAAAAGCGAAAAAGCCAAAGACCAGCCTACAGTGATTATTGAAACAAAATTAAAATTAACAACTCAAAGGTCCATTAAACTTTCTAGAGGCAGGACTAAATTTATTTTACATCTGTATCATGACTAAAAAAACAAAAAAAAATGCAGAATTGTATAAAAAAATAAAAAAAATTGCAGTTTTTCTGTGCACATCCTAAAGTAATATTTAGTTATTTACTCTTCCCTTGTAGATAAAGAGTTATCTACTGCAGTATATTGAAAATTATGCCAAAACCTCCTAGAAGATTAATAAGCCATGTAATTAAATGTAAAAGGAATATAACAAATGATAGGTATTAAGCAGTCTACTAAGAACTACAATGCAACTCACTAACTATACATAGAAAACAATATTTCTTTATGCTTATTTCTAATTGCCAAAAAAAAAAGATAAAAAAGAAAAACCCAAACTAAAACTGCAAGCAAACTCAAAGTAGACAAAAAAGATTAAAACAAAGCTCACATGGAAAAAATCAAGGTCGTCTTAAAGATTCTCGAAAGCGATCCTGATCTCCTAAATTGCAGAGTCATTGTTGTCGATCCTGAAGTCCTTAATGAACAC